ATATACACGTTTTTCTTTGGAAACGTTTACTGTTTATTCGGCTACGAACTTTCGGTTAAAACGGACGTTATTTATATATTAATTTTAATTTTTTTTTTCCAAATTAAATATTCTTTATTCTATTTCACTAATCTGGCTGTTTTTAGAGTATTTTTTTCATTAAATGTGGTTTTTGTGTTTTTAAACAATATTTTTTTTATATTTTATTTTATTTTATTTTTATGTCATCTGTTATTTATATTATTAGATTGGCACAATTTTTTAACATTAGTTTTGTTATTTACTTTATAATGTTTTTGATTGATATTTTATAAATTTAAAAAATTAGTGCAAATATTATTTTTATATCATTCATTGTAGTTTTATTTAATTTTTCTTAGAAACATGTTTTAGTTTTTTTTTATATATAATGATAAAAACAAAATAATTCTTAATCAAGCATCCATCTAGGTCTAGATAAAAGAAATACAAAGAAATCAAAATTAAGTTTCTAAAAAATATGTTTAATCCATTGCCATACGTTTGCAAAACACATAAAAGCATATTCACGTTAATAACAAACATTTTAGTGAAAAAAATAGAATATTTAATTCAAAAATTAAATTAAATTAATAATATAACGAAAGCTCAAGTAATACTGTCAAGTAGTACTGTTACTGTTTCATTGAATATGTCGTTGCGATTTGTCTCTTCCAAATAATTTGTGTGTTTTATCCACTTAAGGAAGAGTCAAATTCGGAATCGAAACGTATAGGAATCGATTGAAAATATTTTTTACAAATATAATTTAGTTTCTTTTATTTCTATTATCTGGATGGATTCATATGATGGATGTATTTTATTTTTATCAACATATCTATCCACACCTGGAAAAATTATTACACTCACATATATATATATATATATATATATATGTGTGTGTGTGTGTGTGTATTTAGAGTGTCCTTTTGTAAAAATGTATATTCAAAACTTAACGGTTTTACACTATTTGAGTAAACGATATACCAGTGGTCTTCCTATGGAGTATGCACATGTAGTGTATGTAAACTTTGCGGTTTGTACTGTTCATACGTACAACGAAAGCAAGGAGTAATATCGGAATGTGGACTCATGACCCCTCTGTTTTTGAAATAGTAAACGATTACAAAATATGTTTATCAAGTAGAAATTCACCATTCATCTATTCATAGCCATTCAATGGCTATTATTTACTGTATTCCCACTTTCTACTATTTATGCTTTGTTTTCTTTAATTTTAATTCTAACGATCTTCCTTAAAAAAGGTTACGTTCATCAATTTTGTATCCATACCTGGTCGCCCAATCAATGGATTGGTATTCGATTTAGACATTCTAAGTTTGTACTAACAAAGATCTGCTGATTTATCATGAAAAAAAGAAGAAATATTTGAAACAACAATGCAGAAACATTTGACATAACTGCTGAATGATGCGTAATGGTCAAAGAAAAAATATACAGTAAAACACCGTTGAGACAATTTTCCATGGACCTGGTCCAAAACGTGGTCAATGCGAGAAAGAATATGTTTAAAAGTGCAGGGACCAGCGTAATGTGGCGTATTATGCGAGAAATCTTATTAAGCTTGATCATTTCAACTGGGTTCTACTGTAGTAGTCTATTACCTAGTAGAACGAAAGTTTCATTTTTGTATGTATCATTTGTATATTTAGTGCTCAAAATTTATTCAAATCCAAAACAACAATTTTACGATAGCAATAAATTGCAAAAATATGCATTCGATAAACTAATGTGTATAACTTGTTAAATTAAGTTATAAATACATGAATATTAATATATATAACAATAGTTTTAAAAGTTTAGTGTTTTTGCGTATATTATGTGTAAATTGTTATATTTAAAACAAAAACGTATTGATAGTTTTAGTAATTCATTATTTTTACATTTTTACATTATTTGCAAATTTTTACGTTTCATGACAAATGTTCCGACTCCAGCAACTTAGTAATTTTAATCATTTTTTTCCTTTTGCGACGTGTTTTTTCATTTAAAATTTTATGAGCTAAATTTCAAAATCCGATGCATCGGCTTCACAAACATAATTTACAATTATAATTACTTGGCTGCATTTTTTTGGAAAAAATGGCTTCCACTTTCATGCATGAATGAATCAGCAAAAGATTTTTTTAGTATGATCAATATATTGAGTGTGGCAATCGATCGAGAATTGTTTCATTCAGATTTTCCAAAACACCATTATTATTTAGTAAATATAAATATCAATCAATAACAGATAAGTCAAAAGAGTCATAATTTTACTTCTACGTATTCACTTTCATAAAACCATTTCAGGTTGATGTTGGGCAAATCTAATCGATATTCTTTATACACACTGTTGCTTTATCAAGCATTACGTTTCAAATAGATTAATTTGAATATTTCTCCAAAAAACCTATACATATTAATATTTATTTATGAAAGGGAGCAAGGTGAATGCTCAGGTTTATGTAGATTGTACATGTGTGGTGGATGCACGTGTTTTTTGCATATTTGGCACGTGGCCAATAATGAAAATTTTGTGTAAAATGTTATAAAATTTTGTGTAAAAATTATGGAAAAATAGTAATAAAATACAAGGGGGGGGGGTATCTATATACATATAATTAACTATTTATTATTTACGTTTGGACACTGTATGTTGTCACCTGTCGGTATGTCAACAAATTCAAAAAATATTTTACGTTTATAAATGTTCAAGTTTCTAGTTTATAAAATTACAATATTACTAGAAGTTCTGACGAATATAAAAAATATATGCCAAACCAGTAAAACTCACACGAATTTAAATATATTCTTTGATGAAAGAACAAACCAATAAAATAAAATAATGAACTAAAGTTAAATAATGAGATTATAACGTAATCACAAAAGCAGATCCAGGATCGGAATCTTGGAAATACTAGCTAGTTGAATAAAATATTTAATATTTTTAATGCTTTGTTTTATTTTCTCGTCTTTGGTTCACCATACTTCCAACCAGCTAGTACTTCCCAAAATTCAATCCTGGATCAGCATTTGTGAACCCCCTTGTTTCTATAAGTCATGTTTTCGCATTTCGTTTTTCATGTACAATTTGTTAATCATGTACCTAACTACATAATTTCATTTTTTACCTTTTATTTTATTATTTTATTTTATTGGTTTATTTTTTTCATTAAATAATATCTTTAAATTTCTGTGTGTTTTTTCCTGGTTTGGTATGGACTAATATGTTTTTTAAATTTGTTATATCTTCTAGCAATCTTGTAATGTTATAAACTTTGTAAAATATTGTCCAGAATTTGTTAACGTGCTGAATAATGACACACATACATAATTAATGTCAAAGTGTACATAATAAATAGTTAATTATTTATGGAGCTCATTCGTGGCTAGAGCGACTGGACCTGAGTCAGAGGTCCCGGATTCGATCCCGATTTGAGGAGCTTGATGTCAAGCAGTAGTGACATCGGTTTTTACTTGGAGGTATAGATAGCAACATGTTTCCAAAGTGAAATTAGTCCGCATCCGGCATTGCTCCATCAACATAATATTTGTTCTATTATAAAAATTGTACTATTAAAATTTATCCCACAGAAATGAGACATATGTTTCGGTTGTCATCTGTAAAATCGACGTAGTATTAAGAGCTTATAAAACACTTGTGTTCTGATCGGTGTTCATAAACAATAAACAATAATTATTGCCTTTTATTTCGACTATTTGGCTGCAATTAAACATCTTAAGGAATGTATCAATGGCGAGCACAAAATTTAAAGTTTATACATATAGAAGGACCGATTCTGACCAATATTATGGAAAAGCTATGTTACGTTCCAGTTTTCAAACAATATGCTACTAAATACTGTCAAATTTTCATATATTTGCTGTGCGATCAGGCGTTTTACACACAAAATACAACTTCACCCATATGGTATTAGGCCACGCCATAAATATTGATTAAAGAATGTTATCATAATTGGGTATTTGTGATGTGGCCTAATAACATATGAACAATTGTTTGACATTCGTGCGTTTTGTAGGTTAGGTTTTCTATGTGAAATGAATGACTCCACAGCAACCAAATAGGATTTTGACAGTTTTTAGTACCATTTTATATAAAATTTGGTACATAACATAGCCTTGCCATAACATAGGTCTATTACGGCATATGTATAAACTTTTGATTTTCTGTTCAACGTTTAAACATAATCTTAAGATGTTTATATGGAGCCAAATAGTCGAAATAAAAATCAACAAAGTATTTTTTATTGTTTTTGACAAGGAATCATAACTTACAAGTTCTAGAGTACTACTAATCCTTAGAATCTAATAATCATAACAGACATAAATCAATAAGAATAAGGAATTCGTTTAAAAGTTTGTTTTAAATCCATACGTTTCGTCTATAGTTCTAGCATTCATTCAATGGAAAAAATTGCTTTTTCGTAAGTTAAAAAACAAAAACACTAATTATAAGATAAGCATAATTTTTCACTAAAAATATTAGCGGAAATAAATGAATGAAATTGAAAATATCAATTATTATCTTCAAATTCGTTTTATTAATTAATTCATAAAATATTTTTTCATTTTCCAACTGATATTATCATTAGCGATTGTTATGCAAAAACAAAATACTTTAGATACGTGAAAAATAAGTGAGTGAGTTTTCTCAATTTTCCGATACGTCCGAAAAATTTTCCACTGTTCCACTACACACCTTCGTATCTATTGTGGGTTTCTTCTTTAGACTTACGTCGCATGCACATATTCTGGTGTCCTATGTGTATCACGTAGCCGGTACATAACGTACGTACGTTTAGTTCGTTCAGTCAGTATTTTTATCAACGATTATATTATTAACGTCTCTGTTATCGGTAGCGTTTGTGTGAGTACAAAATATACACCGAGAAGAGCGGTCGCATGTATGTAAAGTGAAGGCAGTGCCATAGAAAACATCGGATAGAATAGAACGAAACATCATAGACGCTAAACTGGCGTGCGTTTCGAAATAAAACTATAGTCGGAACGGGCGCGTGAGAAGGCATAAATAACTTAGTCATCAGTTACGTCGATAGTAATTGCTTATGCTTATGTAGCTGTTAGCACGATTCCTTGATGTGTGTTTTCGCGAGTTTTCCGAATTCGTTTTTCCGATTTTTCCGCTATGTGGTCTGCCTTTGGAGCGGCTAGAAGAGGCGTTCGTACGTAGACTCGAGGACGAGTGTGTCACTGGGCCAAACGAAGTGCGCATAGCTGCTGCCAGAACAAGTATCTCTTCATAGCAAATATGAGACGGAAAATGATGTAAGATCGTCCATTAATTACGATGCTTGTGCGAATTCGAATTGCGTTTGTTGTTTTCGCTATTTCGAATCGACCGATTGTTGTTCACACATAGCCTATGCAATTGCAAACCTACGCAATTGATTATTAATTGTTTTATAATATTAATAAACATTTGCCATTGTAAATTATTTGCACACAATTAATTATAACAACATTATTTAATCACACATTTTTATACTTTATTTATTTTTCTATGTTGTCTATTAACACTTTGTTGACCGATCACAAGTTGACTCGCGTTATAGCCCAACTTTGCTGACCGAAACTATATATGTTTGATACCATCACATGTAGATGATTGTTATACTGCTTATCATACCAAAAAATATTAAGAATTGAATATAAAATAAGATTTATTAAATTTTATTTTCAATACCCGGTGACATTGAGATTTTCATTAACATTGCTGGTCAACAAAGTGTTAAAAACGCGCTGAATCGGAATGTGGTATCGGCACCATTTATCAAACACATTGATCGTGTCCAATATCATTAGCAAAATGTTTCGGGAAGAAAGAATTTATCAATATTATTAATATACTGCTACCGACGTGTAGTTCAGTATTAATCCAAAAATATTCGTAAGCGAAACCGTGAGATTTTTTGCTCGGCGTGTTCTGGGACATTTTTGCAAATGGTTCGCAAATGTAAACTATGGCAACAGGCGGTCGCCATACAATTTTGGAGTTGTAATTGTAATACCTCTTGAATGTCCAGCACAATTGTATTTAAATACACCTAGTCCCAGTTTTTTGCGGTATTCGTATACACGTTTTCAATCTTTGAAAATAAAGATCTTAAAAATTATAAACACTATAATATACTACAATAACATTTTCATTGTTTTACTATCAAAACACAGCAGTGCAAAATGCATGCCACAGTTACGAATTCTTAGTCTTCTATGATGAAAATATGCAGATGGAAACTTGCCGTTTTATGATCAAAACTAAATTTTTTGTGTGTATAAGCTAGTCTGTGTGAAATACCAAAACAAAGAGCATCGTTGTTTTTATACTTTGTTTTTAATTAGTGTTTATATATAGTCGATAGCAAAAATGCATTTAAGGTGAGCAAATGACAAAATTATTTTTATAAGAATTTTTATATTAAATTATTAACGGAATTATTATTTTGAAAAATTTGATATTACTTATATTAATATTTATTTTGTCTTCAATGCTTTTTGCTTGCTGAAAGATGACACCTATTTAATGATCTTACAACCAAAACAATCTTGTCCAATTATACAGCAATGTTTACATCCTTGAATAGAAAAATACAAAGTAGTTTTTCTAATATTAAACGTGAATTCAATAATATTTTTAACTTCCCCGAAAGTTATAGTAATCGCAAAAACTTCGAAAATGAAAATTTTTATATATATTTACGTTTCAAAGGTTTCTGAACATTTTGTCATACTTTAGAAAAAATGGATGTATGTGTGTGTGTGTGTGTGTGTGTGTGTGCGTGGGTGTATGTATGTGCGGATACAAATTTTCGTCGACGATTTCGGGAACACCGATCAACCGATTTAAATAATTCAAAAAATATTCGATTCATATTGATAAGAAGACGTGTTGATTAGTTTTTGGCGAAGGCAGGTCTAGCCGTTCCGAAGATACGGGGCAAAAAGTGCCAAAAACGGTAACTCAGTTTTTAAGAAAACGGAGCGTCCAATTTCAATAATTCAAAAAACAGTTTACTTGTATTGACAAGATGAAGAACTGATCAAATTTTCATAAAGGCAGGTCTGGCGGTTTCGGAGATCTAATGAAAAAAGTAAAAAAAATGCCATTTGGCGGTCAAAAATGATCATTAGACATATGCACATCAAATTATCAGACATTTTATAGAGATTCTAACAACAAGTATAAATTTTGATTGCATTCCTATGGGTTCCGTACCAATAATATTCGTTAGACGGCGACGCGGCGCTTACGCGCTTTGACATTTTGTCTCTATATAGTTAAAGCAGTACGATTGCTTTGAAAAAAGTTCAGAATTTCCAAAATATGTCAAAATAAAGAAAACATTTTTTTTTCAAAAAAAATTTTTTTTTTCAAAAAAAGTAATTTTTGGCAAATTCCTAGTTTCTCAAAAATCTAATTTTTTCGAAGTAAATTTTTTTCAAAAATGTTAATCGTTTTTAAAAAAATAATATTTGGTACGGGAAGTTCCAGCAATTTGCCTTAAGGGTAAATGCCATGCGCCTCACTAGTTCATTCGACTATTTTCTCTCAAATATATTTCAGTTTATACACGTATTTTACTTTATATTTAAACTTTAATAAATTTTTGTTTAACTTAACCATCTGTCATAACATGTTATAATCTTATAACCAAGCAGTAACCGCAATAGATAACAATGAATGATGGGACCAAGCAGAGATAACCATACGGTTTTTATTTCTTCACAAAAATTTTCTCGTTATCAACAATTCATTAAAGTTAAGAATTTAATTCTTATAAATGTCATGTAATGTGCTCAAACACGTTCCTAGTAAATGTTTTTCGATTGCAAATGAGACTTGTCGGTCGGTAAACATGCAATAACGATTTTATCGCTGCATCATGCTTCTGCAATACGATACGATAATATGGAGGAATATTGATTAGGCAGTCAATTTTCAGATTATTGACATTAATTTCGTTTTTGTTCGTGTGACGCATAATTTAACTCAATTCATCAATAGAGAATGAGTTTACTTCTACACTTATTTTTATATTAACTTCAAAATTACTAAATATTTTGAAAATTGAAGGAACTTCTCGTACCAGAATTAAATATTCGAGGAAAAACAATCAGTAATCAATAAATATTGTTCATTGATTACCAACGATTGTTCTAAACATTTTCAATAATCACTATATATTTTACCGTTCATAAAGGATACAGTGACGATCTTATCGCTCAAAACGCTTGAGAAAGTTTACAATAGCAAGAACTGCTGAATAAATCCTTCTGAGGATAAATTTCTTACGATTAGAATAACGCATTTGAAATACATATAGGGGATGTCCATTAATCATGTGAGGTTTTTAGGCGGGGGGGGGGGTTGACAAAAAATCACGAAATATCACTTGGGGAGGGAGGGGTATAGTAAAATATCACGTGTATTTATTTTTTTTGATTATTTTTTTTTAAAAAGTTCAGACGTTTTCAAAACAAATTTACAAATAGTACAATTTTTTCACGTAACTAAAATTACACGTGATGTTTGGCGGGGAAGGGGGGGGGTAATTTTGAATATCACCATGGATCATCAAGGGGGAGAGGGAGTCCAAAAATCCTTAAAAACTCGCTCACTTGATTAATGGACGCCCATTTAAACTGAATTGTAAATTTAAAATTGGTATTTGATGTATAAAACTTTGTATATTTTTGAAAATTAAAAAAAAATTGCTGGAAATTTTGAAATTTGCTTGAACCGTATAAGTAAACTTTAAAAATTAACATTATTGTTACGGAACCCAAAAAAATTAGTACACATTTTTAAAAATTTTATCAAATAACTGATAATTTGATGTGCATATGTCATTTTTTTTACTTTTTTCTCGTAAAATGTTTTTTGAATAATTTAAATCAGGAACTCCGTTCTATCAAAAATTGATTTTTGGCATTTTTACCCCGTATCTTCGAAACAGTTTGGCCTAACTTCACTAAAAACTAATCAGCACGTCTTCTCATCAGTAGGAATCGAATGTTTTTTGAATCATTCAAATCGGTTGATTCGTTCGCTCGAAATCGTGGACACACACACACATGTACATCCATTTTTTCTAAGGTATGCCAAAATATTCAGAAACCTTTAAAACGTAAAGATATGCAAAAATTTTCATTTTCGATTTTTTTGCGATTACTTTAACTTACCGTACGGGAAATTAATAATTAGTAGAAGCAAATAAAGGTGTTTGAACTGTAATTAATATTGGCGGTCATCAAGTTTTATAATGATATTTTTTTGTAAATATATTGAATTCAGACAATTACATTCTATAAGCCATTAGGATATAATTTTCATCCCTATTTTATTTTTTATATCAGGGATCAATTCTGGCTTGTAGAAGATCTCCAGTGAGATACAACTACTTCCTTATATGAGATTATTTTCCTTTATTTTAATTTTTATATCAGGGATCAATTCTGGCTTGGTAGAAGATCTCCAGTGAGATACTTCTACTTCCTTATATGAGATCTACAGGTTGTTGTTTCTTAAGCCTACTTATAAAAGTGTTGATAATTTTCCTAATTTCTATATCTGCATAAAAAATGTGCTCGATGTGAAATGTTAATTCATCTGGCGAATATAATATAACATATGTTTTTTACTGCAGAAATAGCTTTCAAAGTTAAGAAAATCGTGTGGATGCTTATGATGCGCATCGAATGATTGTAATTCCTTATCATTTGCTTCTAAGAGTTTCTGTTTGCGAAAAATTTTGCTATTGTGATTAGATAAGAAGTCTATCTCATATTTGGCTATATTTCTTTGTTGCTAGAAATGCTCCAGCACTTTTCACTATATGATCTCGTCACTAATGTTATAATACCATCATTTTTACCTATTATTCAGGAAGTACATATAAAATATTTTTGATTCATCAATTTAATTTAAAATAATAATATTTTATTCATCAATTTGATCGATTAAAACTATGTCTGGCAATATTACTATAATTTTCTGGCATTACATCTGGTAATACACTATTTCCAGAGTGATTTTTTCCAGATACGTACCACGTTCAAAACTAGTAGAAAATCGCTTCGTAACTGCCGTTACATGTATTTTATATCAATGCCATTAAAATTGAATGTCAATGTATGCGAAATAACTATACATACTTTCATAGTTTACTTATTAACTTATGGAAGAAGAATTTTTCTGCCGGAAAATTCGATTTCCTAGTTTTATGTTATATAGACGTTTCAAATCATTCCGAATCATTTGACACCAA